TGCAGTTAAGGATTAGGGAGGATATATTAGGAGAGAAGTTGTAAAATCTTAAGGTTCTGTAGACGAATGACCACTCTAATTTGTCGAAAGCCTTTTCTAGATCAAGCTTTAGAATGCAATTTCCTTTTCCTGTTTGGTTGTTAAAACGTTTTAATACTTCTTGAATAATGATAGCATTATCTGTGGCTCGTCTATTTTTGACAAAACTACTTTGTTGATCACTAATAAGATGCTTGAAGAACGGCTTGATGCGGTTAGCAATCACTTTAGTGACCACTTTATACAAAGTGTTACAAAGGCTAATTCGCCTAAAGTTTTGTATTTTGTTAGCATTATTGAATTTAGGGATCACACATAAGTAGGTTTTATTAATGTCATGAGGCATAACCGTTGAGTTAAAAATTTCCTGGAATAAGTTAATAACCTTACTTCCTAGTATTGGCCAAAATATTTGGAAAATAAAAGGATGTAGACCATCAGGTCCAGGAGCCTTGCATGGTTTAAAAGAAAAAATGGCTTTCCTAGTCTCATGATTTTTTAGTTTACTATCAAGGCTGGACAGGTCAAGTTTCTCGTAGGTAGTGTGATCCAATTGAATGACTTTCCAATTACTATGTTCATGAGACGTAGTGAAAATATTATGAAAATGACTGGAGAATTAATCAATAAGGGCCGTTTGATTTTCGATCCAATTTCCATAGTTATCTTTAAAAAAGACAATATTATTTCTCCATCTCCGGTTAGTGGCTTGAATATGAAAATACTTAGTATTAGCATCCCCTTCATTTAACCAATTGATCCTAGAACGTAATTTCCAGTAGTCCTCCTCTAGTTTTAGTATTGAATCGTAATCTTCTACAAGTTTTACCTCTAGGTCTCTAGGAAATTGGTTATTTTGGTAGCTAGGAGAGTTTTGAATACCATTGATACATTTTAATAATTTTCTTTTCCTAGCAAAGATATTCCCAAAGGTAGCTTGTTTCCATTCTAATACGCTTTTATGAAAATACTCAGTCCCATTTATCATATCCCTATTTTCCCAACTTTATTTCACAACTCTTGGGAAGTCTGGGTATGAGCACCAGAAGGTTTCTAGCCTAAAAGACCTCGCATGATTATTATTAATAATGTTGTTAAGATTAACCAAGATGGGATTATGGTGTAAGTGAATTTGTGGAAGATGTGTTACCGTTACATTATTGAATTCTTGCAACCATTCTGAGTTTGAGTAAACCCTATCTAACCTCTCCATAATTAGACCCCCTTCCTCCTACGATGGTTGGACCAAGTATATTTACACCCTTTGAATCTTAGATCTACATGGTTACAAGACAGTTTATTAGGCTTTTGGCCCTTTTTTGGTTGATAGGCCTGCCCCCAAACTTATCCGCTGAATCAATTATTTCATTAAAATCCCCTGTAACTAGCCAAGGCCCCTAATACCTACCAAATATTGATTTAATGTTATTCCATAACAAGTGTCTATAGGCTAAGTCATTGCTAGCATAAACAGTAAAAAATAACCAAGTAAGGTTTTTAGGTTTTACCTCTATCATTGCATGGATTGATTGTCCATTCCTAGTGAAGTTGTTGATCTTCACCACCTCATTATTCCAAAGAAGAACCATACCTCCAAAATTGCCAATTGTAGGCACTTCAACCATTTCTGTGAAGTGATACTCCTCAAGGATGGATATGTGTGTTTCCATTTTCGTTTCCCGCAAAGCAACTAAACAAGGCTTATGTGTGTCCATAAGCTCATGAAAGTGCCTTCTAATATTTTTACTGTTTGCTCATCTAACGTTCCAAATAATGATATTATTCGGCTGACGCATGGGATTCATGTTTGGTGGGAAGTTGTTGGGGTTCCTCCTTAGAGAGGGAACCAGTATCACCACATTCTTTCTCACAGTGGGATCGTGAGGAGGGCAGATGTCCAAAGAGCACTTGTAAAGTGTCGTTGGGCAACTAAAGATAGACTTCCTGTCTAGCATTTCCTTAAAGATGAGTATTTTTACCTCGCTTAGGCTTGAAATAGCCACTGCCGGCTCCCCCAAGTGTGTTAAGTCGTCCTCTTCCTCCTCTTCTTCCTCCTGAATCCCTTCCTGATTCTGTATGTTTTGAACTGGTGGTTGATCTTCCATTGGCTCTGGTTGAGGACCTAGTGGTTGGTCTTGCATGTGTTGTGGAGTCCACCGTGTAAAGATAGGGTTCAGAAGCATCAGGTCCTCTGGTGCAAAGAAGGGAAGATTGATACGTGGGTTTTGAGGTAGCTGTTGGTTGGAATTGTGGGGTATATTCCACATTAGCTGCATGTTGTGAACTAGGTTCTGATTTAGTGAGGGTGCTAGGGGTTGTAGTATGTTGCTCATCCACATTTGATTTATGTAGTTGTTCATAGCTAGGCTCATCCCTTCCGAGATTAGTTGTGCAAGGAAGTGTATATTTTGAATGATTAGAATGGACTCCTGGCCATTGATCTCCATGTTGAAGGAGATGGCATGCCCTTGAAGACCCAGTTCCACCCATGATTGGGGTACATGGTTGGGTGGGCTCAGAGGTTGGGCATAGATGACTGGATTTGGCTGGAATTGAGGAGGGAGTGGTGGTAGGTTGTTCATTCTTTGATTCCTTGAGAGGTGAATTAGTTGAATCAAACGATATCTCATTCTCAAGGTAATGGTGTTCTTGACATTGTTGGTGGCTTGGGGTAATATAGGAGGGATACTATCAACTTGTATAGTAGGTTTAGTAGTGATTTTCTCTACTTTTGTAGCATTTGAGAGGGGTTGCGTGTGATTTATAATTAGATCTTTCAAATCTTGCATGGATTTTCTTTCATCCAGTTGGCTGTCTTCAACGTCCATGTGTTGCATGGTTAAATTAGAATCAGGGGGGAGGTTTTGCATGGTAGCTTCTAGTAATATGTTTTCAACTTCATTTGATTGGTTGTTAGTGTTAACGGGGTGGCTATTAGTAGGGGAAATAATGGTGTTTCGACTGCTTTTGTTGGTTATTGTGGGATTTACTACCAAATCCATTTTGTTAGACAAAAGGTTTGGAGAATTACTATCAATAGTAGGTTGTGACACGTTTTTGCCACTTGTAGTGTGGGTGTCTATTGTGCCATGCAAAATAGAGTTGTCTTTTTTATTATTTTCTTTAATAGAATTTTGCAAAACTATGTGCTCTTGTGGGTTATTGAAAAAACCACCCTTATTTTCAATGTGTGATTTTCCAGTGAGATAATTTGCTTCTAAGGTTACCCCTTTACCTTTGTCTGATTGTAAAGTATTGTAGGCTAAGTTAGGGTTAGTAAGCACTTGAGTATTGACATAGTTCATACGCTGAGTGTTTAAAAACTTACCTGACATTGCATCAAATATGTATACACTAATACCTGGGCCAACAGAGAAGATTGCCTTATTCATGGATTGATTGGCTGCCTTTGCTTTGCTTTTTCTAGGAAAAGAAATTCTCATCCACTCCTGTGTAGTGTCCTCCTTAGGTTGTAGTGCCTCGTTTGTGACTGGTCCATTATTCAGGCCACTTGGTAGAGTCCTATGGGGGCAGGTTCTATTTGAATGACCCAACCTTCCACAAAATTTGCACAGAAAACCTTTTCCTTCATAGTGTATGGGTTGTTTGCGGTGGCCAATCATAGTGAAAGTTTGAACCGGCTGGTCCAATGGCATTTCCACACAAAGTCTTGTATACCTCCCTCTCAATGTGGCTGATGTGCATGCATCCACTTTCAGTAACTTACCAATGCAGTTCCCAATTTTTGTGAGAATGATCCCATCATAAAATTCTGTGGGAAGTTGTGGTAATCTTACCCAAACGGCAGTGCAATTTTGAGATGCCTTTGTTGCTACGAAATTGGGGAACCATTTTTGCACTAATAGAAAGTAACCATTGATGAACCATAGGCCATCATGTAGAATCGTTCTCATGCTTTCTTCTTTCATCAGCTTAACCGTATAGTAATCTTCCCCTAGGTCTATTAGAGGATAATTTTCATCTACCTTCCATATCTCTGGAGTTTTCCTCTTAAGGTAGTGGTGAACTAATCGTTTGCCCATGAGTTTGATAATGAGTGAGTACTTCCAAGGATTGTACATTCTTTGTATGATTTGCCTCATGTTTGGCACACATCTTCCATTGAAGTATTTTCCAAGTCATAAGGTTGGATGTCCATTTTAGTAGACGAGGGCTTTGGATTTGATTGAGAGTTAATAGAGAATATTTCCCCTTGAATTAATTTATCTTTATAGGAAGAAGTAGGATTGATTGTTGGATTGATTCTTGATGAATTTTCGTCAGGGGGTTTGGGTGGAATTTGATGTGGATTCCTTGTGGGTTTGGTTAGTGAGAAGCTGCTCATTCTCTCTCTAGTTTCTGATGTTATATACCGATTGTCAGTATTATATGGGAGTAAATATTAGTTCTCTATGATCCGGTAGATGTGCAGTTATAAAAAATAATACAAATAAAAGTGTTCACATATGACAAGTACCATTCATGGATGACAAACTAATAAGAGAAGGATATCGAGAAATTCAGAGGCAGATCCAAGATTCCAAGAGGATGTGCGAATTATTGTGACGAGGTGGACCTAGAATTCACATTGACGTGTTTAACTTTAGTCTCTTATCATGAACCCACTACAATTTAAAATTATAGGTTCCAAATTATATTCGTTTTATAATTTTAGTGATTTTCACGTATATATCTATACTTCGTGCCAAAAACAAGATCGTCCGAATTGGGATTTGAACCGCCAATTTACTCGTAGAGGTGCACCCAATAATTATTGCACCATAGGAGTCTTTGAGCATGAGTGCACGCTCATATATTAGAATAATTTGAAAAAAATATTCATAGGTTACAAGTACCTTGTTTTATGTTTTGATGATCTAACAAACTTACTGTCAAGAACTAGATAAGGAACCTGGTACACATTCTCAAGACCTTAAGATCAAAAGGTTCCAGCTTGGAATATGGTTCAACTCTTCAGAGTTAGAGGACCTACAAAGGGAACAAATAGCTACTGTTTCCCGAGGAAACTGCACAAGTCAACTGCCCCAGCTATAAAGTTGTTGCCTGCACACGCTACAGTGCAGAAACAGTGCAGCAGTCAACTTTATGGGGAGTGTCTTTTACCTACCTTGCTTACATCATCCTAAGTGATGTCACAAATGTATTATCAACATCAAGGAAGGTAAAAACAAATCACTTGAACACTTAGAGAATTTACTCAAGCACTCTATGTCATTGTCATCAAGAAAACAATTCTCAAGTGCATCAAGAAAAAAGAACAACACTGCTACGGACCAGTTCCCCATATCAAGTTATTGAATGTCCTTAGTTGAGTTGTAACTTTATAATAGTTCTTCAATCGTAATTCCTACTTAGCTTGTTTAGAATCATTGCGTAGGAAACCCTTTGTAAATCATAAACCCTTGTGTTTGTGTGTTGGCTAGAGTTAGTTGAGTTGTAAAGTCTTTGTAATATAGTTATTACAAAGTGTCTAGTAATAGAGTGTTACAAGTTAGTGAGGGATTAAGAGGATAATTCCTAAGTTACATAGGTTGTAATCTGAAAATTGCTCAGTAGTGAAGTTGAAATCCTACAAGGGTAGGTCATGATTTTTATTCCCGTTGAGCTGGGAATTTCGCACGTAAAAATCCTCTTGTCATTTACTTGCTGCAGTGTGCGTGTGTTCTATTGAAACTGATAGAGAACCTAGTTCTCTATAGAATTTGCTGGACCCTCAAATTCTATCAATTGGTAACAGAGCAGGTTCCTTCTATCAGGCTAACACCTGAAAAGGATCCTCATGGCTGCTCCGCCAAACTTTGAAGAAGGCCAGTCTACTTACAGACCATCAAGGTTCAACAGACAATATTTTGGATGGTGGAAGACTAGGATGCACGACTTCTTCAAAGCTATGAGATGTTATATGTGATGGACCCTTTGTTCCTACCAAGAATCTTGGCGACCCATCTATAGCCATTCCCAAGACGAGGAAGGAATTCAATGACGCTGATCGAAAGGCCATAGAAAAGAACTTTCGTGCATAGAATATTCTTGTTTGTGGCATGGTCCTGATGAATATAACAGGATATCGTCATGCCAATCAGCAAAAGAAATCTGGGAAGCTCTTCAGGCAGCTCACGAAGGAACAACACAAGTCAAGCAATCCAAGATCGATATGCTCAAAACTGAATACAAGCTCTTTAGGATGAAAGATGATGAATCCATCCAAGATATGCATAATCGCTTCACCTCCATCATTAATGAGCTTCACTCTCTTGGTGAAATTATTCCAAGAAATAAGCTTGTCAAGAAAATCCTTAGTGTGCTGCCCAGTTCTTGGGAATGCAAAGTGAATGCCATTACAAAGGCGAAGGACTTGCAGGAACCGACCATTGATGAGCTTGTCGGCAATCTGAAAACATATGAAATGAAGAAGAAGAAGGACAATGAAAGAAGAGAGCCCAAAATGGAGAAGAACCTGGTCTTCAAGACAGATAACAATGATTCATGTGGTGTTGATGGTGATATGGCTTACTTGACAAGAAGATTCCAGAAGATGGTTCGCATGAGTGGAGGCATTCCAAAAAGGGGATGTTCTAGCAAGCCAAAAAATTATGACCTCTGTCATAAATGTGGCAAACCAGGACATTTTATCAAGGATTGCTCTCTCCTAAAGAAAGATCAGTACAAAAACAACTTTGACAAAGCAGCCAAGAGAAACCCGATTCCTGATAAATGCTTCAAGAGAAAGAATGTCACTGACAATGTTGTAAAGCAAGCTTTTGCTGCATGGGGAGACTCCTCTAGTGAATCTGAAGAAGAGAATGATCATGGTGATATTTCAATGATGGCAGTAGAAAGTAAAGCAAATGAGTATGACTCAATCTTTGCCTTGATGGCTTAATCTGATGATGAGGTAAATTTTCTTGATTTTCAGAGAAATCTAAAATCTTATTCTCCTAAAGATTCATGTCTTTGGCAAATGTGCTAATTGATTCTTATCACAGTCTTATAAATGATAAAGATGCTTTAACTGTGGAATTAGCAGAAGTATAATAGACCAGAGATGACCTAGTAGTCGTTGTGGTTGATTTAAAGGAAATAATTGAGAACCTGAAGAAAGAGAAGGATGCCTTAGATGAAAAAATTGCAAATATAGAACATGAAAGAGATGATCTAATGGTAGTTGTGGTAGACCTGAAAGATACCATTGAGTGTGTAAGAAAGGAAAGAGAAGTCTTAATTGAGAGAGTTGCTAACATTGAGCATAAGAGAGATGACCTATTAGTCGTGGTAGTGGACTTGAAGGAAAAATTGGGGAACTTAAATTGGAGAGTAGGCCTGAAAATTCTCAAAAGGGAGATGAAGTTGCAAGTGAGGCACATAATAAGCTTGAAAGTGAGTTAAATTCAGAGAAGTCCAGTCTGTATGCTGAGCTTGAGAAAAACAAACAACTACAGGAAGAACTAGGTAGAGTGAAGAGTGATCTTGAAAAATCACTCATGTGAACCTGGTCCTCTGATGCTATCACTGCCATGTACACCAACAATGGGGGACAACAGGTAAGGGATGGGGTTCCAAAGGGAAAAGATTCCCTATAACCCTCAGAGCAAGTAGGTCACTGTACCTGATAATTGGCTTTGCACTCACTGTGGCAACACTGGGCACTTTAAAGAAAACTGTAAGGCCAGATTTCAGTCATAGCAGAAAACAAAGTTTTTGCTGAAAAAGTAACTACTGGTAGAGAACTTGGTCCCTCATATAAAAAATGCATGATCTTTGCTTGGACCAGAAGATCCCTCATTCACCCCTTTACTCATTACAAGGGACCCAAACTCGTTTGGGTTCCTAAGTCTAACTCCTGATTCCTGATTTTCTTGTGCAGGGAATAGTGAAAGGGAGCAGCCTACAATGGTACATGGATAGTGGTTGCTCAAAGCATATGACTGGAAGTACAAATGATTTCCTTTCACTTAAAGCCCTGCAAGCAGGGAGTGTATCATTTGGAAATGGCAAGAAAGGATACATTCTGGGAGTTGTAAGGATTGAGAAGCCTCTCTCACACTCAATCAAAAATGTGTACTACGTGAACGAGTTGAAGTACTGCTTGCTAAGTGTTTCCCAGATCTGTGACAAGGAAAACAGGGTGAAATTTGTGTCAAAAATATGTACAGTTACAAACCTAGTGACTGGTGAGGTGATGCTAGTAGCAAAAAGATACAAAATATCTATGTTGCTGATTTTGAGTCTCTGCAAAATGGTGATCTCGGCTGTCTAAGTGCCGTTGATGATGATGCTGAACTATGGCATAGGAGGCTCGGTCATGCAAGCTTCACGTTTCTGAACAAATTGGTCAGGAAGGACTTGGTTCTTTGTGTGCCCAAGTCAAGTTTCAAGGATCACAAAGTGTGCGATGCATGTGTAAAAGGCAAGCAAGTCGGATCCTCATTCAAGCCCAAAACGGAAGGCAGTACCTCAAGGCCACTTGATCTTCTTCACATAGATCTATGTGGACCTATGAGAATGCCAAGAAGAGGGGGAAAGATATACATCTTTGTGATAGCTGATGATTGCTCTAGATTCACCTAGACTGTGTTTCTCAGAACCAAGGATGAAACTTTTGAAGTGTTCATTGCTTTTATCAAAAAGATCCAAGTGAAGATAGGTAATAAGGTAGCCTGCATCAAGTCTGATCATGGGACAGAGTTTGACAATGCCAAATTTGATGAGTTCTATACTGACAATGGTATCACTTACAATTTTTAAGCTCCAAGAACACCTCAGCAAAATGGAGTTGTGGAGTTAAAGAATAGAACTCTTGAAGACATGGTAAGGACAATGTTGATTGATAGTGGGATTGCAAAGAATTTCTGGGCAGAAGCTATCAACACTGCTTGCTACTTGGTGAACAAGTGCATGATCAAGTCCCTTATGAACAAAACTCCATATGAACTGCTGAATGGAAGGAAGCCCAAGCTGACACATCTAAGGACGTTTGGGCGTAAATACTTTGTTCTTAACAATGTAGAGGAAGCTCTTGGAAAATTCGATGCCAAAAGTGATGAAGGAATATTTGTGGGATACTCATCTTAAAGCAAAGCTTACAAAGTATACAACAAAAGGACAGAGTGTGTTGAGGAAAGTATACATATGATCTTTGATGAATCTCACCTCTCCTGCGAGAAGGACATACATGCTGATCAAGATGGAGAACCCTTATCTGTTCCATAAAAATTTATTGACATGGCAAACGGAAAAGCAGACATGATGAGTCATGTAAAGGAATCCAGTGAAGACGATGTGAGTACACCTCCATCTATTGGAGAAAAACCTGGTCCTATGATCACACCAACTGAAGCCGAAAATAGAGTTGTTGATGCAGTCCAAGGTACTCCACTTGCTGAAGTAAGAAGCGCCCAAGAACCTCAGTCAGACATACCTGGGTCCTCTACCATTCGGGTACCAAATTGGAAGCACAACAGCTCACATCCTCTTGACAACATAATCACCCCTCTTGACTCAGGAGTTAAAACCAGATCAAAAGCAAGAAACTCACTTGCCTTTTCAGCCTTTCTTTCCCAAATAGAGCCAAAAAATGTCAAAGAAGCGTTGAAAGATGCAGACGGGATCACAGCCATGCAAGAGGAGCTGCATCAATTTGAAATAAATAAGGTATGACACCTGGTTCCCCGACCGGCAGATTGAACTATCATAGGGACCAGGTGGGTATTCAGGAACAAACATGATGAGTTTGGAAATACAACAAGAAACAAGGCAAGGCTACAATCAGGAAGAAGGAATTGATTATGATAAAACATTTGCTCCAGTTGCTCGAATGGAAGCCACTAGAATTCTTATTGCCTTTTCATCTCATATGGAGTTCACACTATTCCAAATGGATGTCAAAAGTGCATTTCCAAATGGCTACCTGAAAGAAGAAGTCTATGTCAAGCAGCCTCCTGGATTTGAGTGTCGCGAGCATCCTGAGCATGTGTTCAAACTGGACAAGGCATTGTATGGGCTAAAGCAGGCTCCCCGTGCTTGGTATGAAAGGTTGTCAAAATTCCTTTTAAAAAATGGCTTTACAAGAGGGATAATTGACAACATTGTTTTCCTGAAGAAACGAGGGAGGAAACTTGCTCATTGTGCAAGTATATGTTGATGATATTATTTTTGGAGTCACAACTGACTCTCTATGCGAAGAATTTGCAAAACTCATGGGGAGTGAGTTTGAGATGAGTATGATGGAAGAATTAAATTTCTTCCTAGGACTTCAAGTGAAGCAATCTCAAAAGGGAACAATGATAATTCAGCAGAAGTACATCAAGGAGCTGGTGAAAAGGTTTGACATGGAAGCATCAAAAGTTATTGACACTCCTATTGCTACAGCTACTCGTCTAGACATGGATTAATCTGGTTCCTCTGTAAATCAGACCATGTATAGAGGGATCATAGGGTCACCCTTATATCTTACTGCAAGCACACCAGACATTGTGTTCATCGTGGGTTTTTGTGCAAGGTTTCAATCCAATCTGAAGGCTGCCAAGAGAATATTGAGATATCTCAAAGGAACGCAGGACCTGGTTCTCTACTATCCCTCAGGTGACAACTTTGATCTTATCGGGTATGCCGATGCTGATTATGCTGGATATCTGGTGGACAGGAAAAGCACTTCTTGAATGGCACATTTCCTGGGTTCTTGTCTAATCTCTTGGGGTACAAGGAAGAAAAACGCAGTGGCACTCTCAACTGCAGAAGCTGAATATGTAGCAGTTGCTTCCTTGCTGTGCTCAATTGCTGTGGATCAATCAACAGTTGGAAGACTTTGGAGTGTTCTCAGATTGTGTGCCTCTCTTATGCGACAATACAAGTGCACTCAACATGGCTAAATATCCATTCCAACATAGGAGGACCAAGCACATTGATGTACGCCATCATTTTCTCATAGACAATGTTGAAAAAGGGCTCATATGCATGAGATTTTGCAGCACAGAAGATATATTCACCAAAGCCCTAAGCATAGAACATAATGAGAAAAATCACCTGGCAATGGGGTTGATAAAACCCAATTGAGAACCCGGTCCCTCGACGATTGGCTATGAAAGAAATATTCAGGTAAAATTAGCTAAAAAGTGTTTTCTGGCATAGTCTAACTCATTTATATACCGTTCCAGGTAGACACAGATGATGATTACAGAGAAAATAGGCAGTTGATGTAGTGCGCGCTGGTAAAAAGGGGCAAAGCTTACATATGCAAGATTAGTCAGGGAACCTTCTAGGCCGCATTTCATTTCATGGTAGAATTTGGGTGTTTTGGGTAGATACTAGGGATTTTGGGAAATTGGGGATTTAGACATCGAATTGAGGTCGGATTCTAAAATCGATTATATATCCGGGCTCGGGGGTGAATGGGTAAATGGATTTTTGTCCGAACCTCGGGTTTTGACCAGGCGGGCCCGGGGTCAGTTTTTGACTTTTTGGAGGAAAGTTTGAGAAATCTAAATTTATGCATTGTAGTTGATTCCTTTAGCAATAATTGATGTTATTGAGTTATTTATGGCTAGATACTAGTGGTTTGGAGGTGGATACTTGAGAAAAAGTAGTAATTGAGCATTGAGTGGCCTGTGGAGCGAGGTATGCGTCGTGTCTAACTTTGACTCGAGGGTTTAAGAACCCTTGACTTATTTGCTATATGAAATCCATGTGAGCGGCGTATAGGTGAGGTGACGAGTACCTATGCGCTGCCAATTTACATGTTTTGCCTGTTTCTTTCTCGTTCCTCTCATATTGTCTTATTTCCTGTCATAGCTGTTACATGCTTTACTTGTACTTCCATGCTTAGCTACTACTTCTTTGACATTGTTCCTCTTTGCTGAAAGTATTAGTTATTTTGTAGTTTCGTTGCCTCCTATTATTTGCTTATGATGGTTATTATTACTTTCAAGGCATATTCTGGATTGGTCTAGCTGAGTAGTATTACCTGTGTAATGTCTCCTAGTGTATAAGCTACCTAATTGTTTTTGTTTGAAGTTGAGCCTTATGAAGGGTTATGTGATTTGAATTGTGTAATTTCTGTACTTGCTGAATATCTGATATTGATATGGTGGGATCGGGTTGCGCGCCGCAACAACCTTTATGCTTATACTTTTCCTTGACTATGCTAGTTAAATGGTAGTCTTAAATTGCACTTAACGATTGGTAATAGCTGGACACTGATGATATGCTTCGACAACTATATTTATTTCTTGCAAATTACTAGTCTATTCTATCATGTGTTCTTTCTGCTTTTACTATACACTGGCCCCACCGTAGCCTCGTCACTCCTTCGTCGAGGTTAGGCTCGACACTTACCAATACATGGGGTTGGTTTACTGATACTCCACTCTGCACTTCCTGTGCAAATTTTAGTGCAGGTTCGGGCTGATCAAGAGGTTGGCGGTAGGATTCACCTGCTTGGAGACCCAAGGTAGTCTTGTTGGCGTCCGCAGGCCCTGGCGTCCCCTTCTATACTCCATATATATATATATATATATATATATATATATATATATATATATGTGCACGTGCATGACATCATAAATGTTTCAGAATTTACAAAAACATTCAGATTTACAGATAGATTTCTTATTTCCATGTTTCATCTATGTCTTTTACGTACTGATTTTCATGCCTTACATACTCAGTATATTTTTCGTATTGACGCCCTATATCACGGGGCCTGCCTTTCACTCCCGCAGGTGCAGGTAGGCAAGCTGACGGTCCCCTTCTTAGGATCCTTGATCAGCGAGAGTTGGCGTCCTCCACCTAATCCGGAGCTGCTTTTTATTTGGTACGATATGCTTCTGTATATATATATATATATATATATATATATATATATATATATATATATATATATGGGTATGACATGGCTCAGTCCCGTCTTTGTAAAGTTGCATTTCTATTAGAGGTCTGTAGACAGTATGTCTAGTTGGATAGAATGTGGCCTTGTCGGCTTTCAGTTTTGAGGTATATAGTTGTCTATAGAGGCCTTGTCAGCTCGCCCTACGTATGTTGCACGTATATGTACATATGCCTTTTGGGCAGGTTTCCTTCATGTATATTATTCTCGTAATTCAGAAGATGTTAGGTTATGTTAAATGCATGCTTAAGTGTGTTCGACAGGTAGGACTCGGGCACCCGTCGCGGCCCATCGGTTTGGGTCGTGACATGAGGGTACAACTTTATGGCCTGTACTCTTTGTTGTCTCCAGGCCTGGCACCTCTCATTTTTTTTTCTTTCCCTCGATTATCGACTTTGTAATATTGTCATTTCATTTTATTTCTCCACCGTTGTCATCCATGTATCACATCTTACTCATAATTCTTCCTTATCTCCCTTCTCATTACTCTGCTAATACTTCTGCCTATCCTCACATTCTTTTGCTTTTATCTCCCATTGCTTCATTCATCAGCTCTTTGTGTTTCTTAACGTCCTCGCTCTACTAGGGTCGAGAATCGCACTAAGGTAATATTTATCCCTTCCAGGCTTTTAGTGCCTATCTTCTGAAATTGTTTTGTTTTTTGATCATGCTAGTATTCACATCCAATTGTAATAATTTAGAGTGCACCATCTGAGTGTCTCACAAGAAGATCTATTAGCAGATTTGCAATATCCTTCGGCAATGTCAACTAACCGCAAGCAATTCATCCACCATTTTGGGTCACTCTAACCCCAGCCGGATCGTGATATTATGTCCTTCTCTTAAACCATATTTTTTTGCTCCCATAGAGCATAACTTAGATCGGTGTGGCCAATTACACATACCTCTATTACTGCTGAAGGTAACTCAAAATGCTTATATTTCTCTTCCTCAATGGTAAATAAGGATAATCTTCATTAGCTGGGTACCTCATACCCTCTTTCACCTTGCTTTCTTTACTTGTTGAAACTTGTATTTATCTTCTGACATTGTCTTTCACCATAAAGGTGGATAGATATTCTTGCCTTAAGGCTCCTTTTCCAGCAGCTCACCGGGTTCTTCTGGCTCGACTCTTCACAACCACATTCAATCCCTTACCAACCATATTTCTAAATGTAGGCATCACCGTATT